TGAGGCAGCAAGGATTTCGCCTTAGGAAAAACAGGACTAGTTAAGTTAATCAATAACAATGCACCGCCATGTATATGCCTCAGTTCATCTTACGAGCGATCACCCGGAAACAAACGTGATAATCACTGTCACCCAAATGACCGTCGTACACAAGAGGCTTGATCTACCCATCAGCCCTCTCTTTATATCTATTAAGGAGATGAAAGATACTCTGCGTCAGTTAATGGAAAAATGTTTAGCTTTGTCGCAGTACTATGTACGCAGCCTAAGGAAAAAAAGAGAGAAGGTTGTAGTCATATTTTACATGACATGCATATCATGATTATCATGTTTGGACGTGTCGGCTACCTTCGTAGTCTGTTCACGTCACGTGATGCTAAATTTGGTTTATGTGGAGCTAGCGAAATGGCCGCGAGGGCATCATGAGCGTGGAATGTAGTCACGACTTACATGACAGGTATGTCATGATTTGCACTTTAGACCTATGTTTGCCATGTAGTCATGGTTACCATACCAGTTTTGCAATATGTCATGTGAACGAAACCACAACAAAAACAATAAGACTATGAAATCTGAATCATGACATTCATGACATATATATAACGATTTTTGCGTTATGACTAGTCACTTCTGCTCATCATACATTCATGTTATGCTATACAAAATTCGGTATTAATGCCATTATTGAAACGGCCAGGAGAGCTTGAAGTCGTAGGCGGCTAGATAGATAGATGAATAGACAGATAGATGGACAGATAGATAGATAGATAGATAGATAGATAGATAGATAGATACATAGATAGATAGATAGGTAGATAAGCTCAAAGTCGCCGAAGTTCGCTAAGAAATGCTTCGCATGTAAATATAAAAAAAACAACGTTCAGTTGCATCGGCTTCAAGATTTCAAGTCAAGCGGAAGTCACAGAAAAGGGAGTGGACAAAGGATTGGCCATGTTACAATACGGCAAATTAAGATAGCAGTGAGTTAGTAACGAAGCTGGCTTACTGAGACAAAATTAGTTAATATTGGTTATACGATGAGAAATGTTGCAAACTGAATCAGCACTGCCTAACATTGTGAAAGTAAAGTAATTAAAGATAGTGAATTAAACATGAGTGACAGTTCACTGCAGTGAGAGGTTATTAGAGAGCATTTGACGTCGATAATATGTTGCATGGTAAAATAGCCACACCAGATGGCTTTCGTCGTGGAGTCTTTTTAGGTGAATGCAGGAGGGGACCCTGTGAGCCTTGTTTGTAAACAGCCAAATACCTGAAGACTAAACAAAAAAGTGTTTGTGATTGCCGACTCAACATACGTTATGATGATTTATACACACAGCTTTCGGAAAAACTAAGCACCACTTCATTTGATCACATGATTCAACTTTTCAGCATCATTTTAGAGGCAACAAATGGTATTGCAGATAAATAAATAAATAAATAAATAAATAAATAAATAAATAAATAAACAAATAAATGTATATATATGTAGGTATATCTTAAGTCCACGCGGTTGCCTATGCTACTTCAGTTATATGGCTGGAGCCATTCCTACGAGTCTTCCTACAAATATTTGCGAAATAATGGCATGAAATAGCAATGAATGAAGAAGGTGCAGTTAGGTTTGCGTGAAAAAACAAAGAAAATTTTCCATTTAATGGAAGGAGGCATCCGCAGATATTTCAAATTTTTATTGAAATAGCTTACTTCAGTGAGAGTAGCTTACTACTCTCACTGAGGCTTTTTACTGCCCGTCTTGGTCGATATCTAAATGTTTGTATGAAAAACAGTATTTACTCAAAATAGATCATTAGGCACACTACTATATATCGCTGTGTATTTAGTAGAAGTCGGATGTAAAGGCACAAAAAATTGAGTTTTAGGCACCAAGAATTGTCAACCAAACACCGTTTTAGGCATCCAAAACCATAAATATAGACAACAGAATGAACGTTCACAAAAAAATTCAAATTTTAGACGAAATACGTACTGGACCTGTGGTGGTCTAGTGGCTAAGGTTCTCAGCTGCTGACCCGCAGGTCGCGGGTTCGAATACCGGCTGCGGCGGCTGCATTTCCGATGGAGGCCGAAATGTTGTAGGCCCGTGTGCTCAGACTTGGGTGCACGTTAAAGAACCCCAGGTGGTCGAAATTTCCGGAGCCCTCCACTACGGCATCTCTCATAATCATATGGTGGTTTTGGGACGTTAAACCCCACATATCAATCAATCAATGAACCTGTGTCTACGACAGGAAAGCCAAAAGAAATTTGCAAGTTCATGATAGTTTGAAGAAGCCATGGAACTTTTCCCCGCAGGTTTTTCTGAACACGGTCTCTCCTTTTATTGCCCACCATGGCGAGCTAATTCTTCAACGTCGAATAAAGACGCTCCTGGGTCTCTTTCTTTCCGGCATAATTTAGAAGGGCCACGCAGGAGCAAATAGCCAAACCACTAATAGGACAGAAGAATATTGTAGCCTCGTATTAGCCATGTCTAATCACACAGGGTTAGTTTCTTCTCTGTTTGTGGACACACTAAAGGGCCCTCAACCAGGTTTGAGCATACATAGCAGTCAATAGAAATGCATGCACTGGGCACTTACAGTTTCCTCCGCCAAGATTTGCGATGCTATAGTATACGCGCCCTGCTATGAGTTGAATTGTCAAACAGAATGGCGCTTGCCATTCCGCTCATGGGGGCGCGCCCAACATGAAGTTGCCGACATACAACAGGGAATGGTTCTACGTACCTCATTGATTGATTTGATTTGTGTTATTTAACGTCCCAAAACCACCATATGATTATGAGAGACGCCGTAGTGGAGGGCTCCGGAAATTTCGACCACCTGGGGTTCTTTAACGTGCACCCAAATCTGAGCACACGGGCCTACAACATTTGCGCCTCCATCGGAAATGCAGCCGCCGCAGCCGGGATTCGAACCCGCGACCTGCGGGTCAGCAGCCGAGTACCTTAGCCACTAGACCACCGCGGCGGGGCGGTTCTACGTACCTCAAAGTAGCTAATCGGTTTTATTGATTGATTGGTAAGTGAGGTTTAACGTCCCAAAACCACCATATGATTATGAGAGGCGCCATAGTGGAGGGCTCCGGAGATTTCAACCACCGGAAATTTTTTTAACGTTCACCCAAATCTGAGCACACACACGGGTCTACAAATTTCCGCCTGCATCGGAAATGCAGCCGCCGCCGCCGGGATTTGATCCCGCGACCTGTGGGTCAGTAGCCGAGTACCTTTGCCACTAGACTACCGCAGCGGGGCAAATGAGCTTATCTGTGCAATCTGTTGCATGAAGGTTGATAGAAATATTGGAACATAGAAGCAGAATCTGTTTACAATTTTTTCCCACTTTCTTATTAAGCAGAATGCGAGACTAAGCTGCCTCTATTTCGTTTGCATTGGTGTTCTCGCCATTCTGGCTTCGTACTGGTGCCAGCCCTGACAACGCTCGACGTGTTTTTGGTGCATCGTTCAATAAAGGAGCTACAGAAGTTGGACGCCGTATATCGTGGTGAGGATACAGAGGATACAGTATGCGTGCCAGCCTTTCTAAACGCGCGCGCATGAAGGGATCCATCCCACAACAACAGGCTGTTCAACACAGAGAACTCAGAAACGACACTACACCGCTTGCGTGCAGTACCCGGCTTGTGCATGTAATGCGAATGTAACCTTGTTTGCGCATGATGTTTTGATGTGTCGCGTCTTGTGACGTTCTCCGAGTTGCTTCAACACCGAAAAGGTCAGGGAATAAATTTGGCTGGTGCAGCCCACAAAGCGCAAGTGTGGCAAACGTTTCAAGGTCACATTCTCGCATTGTGCTTTCACGGCTTAGAATTAAATTAAAGATTATTGTGGTACAAAGCTCTTTATTTGGCACGCAACAACTTCCAGTGTCAAACTAAAATTGCACATGTGACCTGAAGCACCCTGGAAGTATACAGTAAATGACAAGCAAAACAAAAACCACTTGTGTCCCGTTTCTTTTTTTTTTGTGGGTGGGGAGGGCTACACTTTGCTTTCCCCTGATGACAGTCCACGGTTTCGCATTGATTCGTAATGGTCCTGCGGCTGCACAGCAGCACCTCCTGTTCTTTACGCGTGCGAGCAGACGTGAGGGAGATGCTAACAGCAGACGCGACGGGGATGAATACATGTGTAAAGTCTAATCAGCCTTCCTATTGCCTAAGGGACCTTGTAGCCTTGACAGGGTGTAAGGGAACTTCTGGAATGAAGTATTGGTCGCACCCCATAGAGTTCAGAAAACTCGGTTTTTCCCTGTAACATGAATACCCGTCTTCAACTGTACTCAAAAGCAAAAACTTAAGGTTATGTAGTGTTCATTTGGGCAACTATATTGAAGATAGGCATTTATAGGTACTTATAAGAGTTCGGGCACAAATGTCTAAAATAGGCATTTTGAGACATTATAACAATTTCATAAAAGCCCTCCTTAACCTCTAATTCATGCTCATATATCCAATCGGCACGATAGGAGCGCGTGGAACGAAAAAGGCATTTGCCTATAATACAGTCTCTAGTAATTAGTGAGTGATTTAGAGAACGTACAGCTTGCCCCGCTGTGGTGGTCTAGAGGCTAAGGTACTCAGCTGCTGACCCGCAGGTCGCGGGTTCGAATCCCAGCTGCGGCTGCATTTCCCATGGAGGCGGAAATGTTGTAGGCCCGTGTGCTCAGATTTGGGTGCACGTTAAAGAACCCCAGGTGGTCGAAATTTCCGTAGCCCTCCACTACGGCGTCTCTTATAATCATATGGTGGTTTTGGGACGTTAAACACAATATATCATATCAGTAAGAACGTAAAGCTTTGTGTAATCACGTATGTATACAGTTCTTTTTAAATGTGCCGAGCTAATTTTATGGGCCGATAAACATGCTCCCTTTTCGAGATATGTAAGTACTACTGGCGGGTGCATTTTGTGTCGAAGTGGTTTGTGAGGTGCACCGTATACTGCGCAGGTACTTCGCCATCGTGCGGCCTTTGTGTGGACGTCCCCGGCGCCGGCAAGCCGTGATGACCTTGTGTGTCGTGTGGTCGGGCTCGGCTCTGCTGTCGCTGCCTACGCTGCTCTACTCTCGCACTCAGTCCTACCGCTACGGAGACCACAGCGTGCGAACCGTCTGCATGCTCGTGTGGCCGGACGGCCGTCTGCACGGCTCTTTCGCCGATTACGTGTGAGTTTATTCGCTCTATCTTCGGCGATGCGCAATCACGTTCACGGGCACAAACTTGCGCAAGTACCATGCACATGCCGGCACGCACACCCCTGCACAATCAAGTAAACTTTGGTATTTACTCATTTATTAATGGGGCGTTGCAATACCTTTTCAACGCCATCGGAAAACGCGGCTGATCAGTATAGTCGGTGCTCCTGAAGACTCGAGAGTCAAACATTATAGCGCGGCATGCAGCCTGCAACTTACCATTAATTCTTAACGCCAACTGTGTTCCCTTTCTCCTCTTTCTCCAAATGATGCTATATACCCAAATTACTGCCCTATATTCCCCAACGCCACGGCCTTGGCTGATTTGAGCCCTGTAAGCTGCACAGTGCGTAGCTCGCCTGCGTGAAAGGAGAGAGACAGCGCTTAAAGCGCGCGGCAAATTCCTGTAACTACAAGTTTGCTTGACGGTTTCTGAAAATTTTGCGGCGATCGATTTTTTGAGGCAATGAGCTTTTTTTTTAATGACGCCAAGATTCAATTACTTGGAAAAGTGTCGCAGGGCCCCTTTATTGAGTAAATATTCTTAGGATCCATTATGCAGAAAGGTAGGACATGCAGATTTATGAAAAAAGAAGAAAAGAACGAGACAACACAAAACGCCGTCGCGTCTGTCGTCTGCATGGTTCTCCTGTTTCCACGTGTCTGCACGCCTTACCTTCTTTCGCAATGGAGTCTACAAACTAGTTCTACTTTTGTCGTTTCAACAATATTAGGCTACTTCCACAGCTGCTCTCTACGTAACCCAACGTGACGCCTTACCCATAAATATGCATAGGACTGAAGTGGAAGTTCATAATAAAAGCATGGTGGTACGTCTAGAACAATAACTCGAACCTTCTACTTTTCAAGTATGTAGGTCACAGGAGTGCACAGGGCCGTACATTATAGGTAGGGGGTGAAGTTTCTGCACTGTGCCCTGTCCTCCTACATAATTTCAGAGTTCAAAATAAAATAGGTTCTGCGATGAATAAAAGAATGAAAATAAACCAATGATGTGCTAGAGCGGCCTGCCTTTAGTCCACTGCTTCACGAGTAAAAAGGTGGGAAGTAAAACGCTCTTGGAACATATAACACCAGGTGTCGCCGGCTGCCATTATAGAAAAAAAAAGTGCATGGCCGCAGGGAACTAGCGCTGGAGTTATCGCGGTGCGGGCTGCACCGTCCTGGCGTCCAAAGCGTGAATAAACCAGCCACTCCTGCTGACAAGAGTGGTGCTGGTAGAGTTAATGCGACTGTGGATCACCGGAACAAAAGAAAAGGACGTTAGTGGTACTGTTGCATATTCAAGTACCACAATACGTAGAAATGAGGGAAGACGCATTCTATTGCGTTTTTTTCTAAACCTCGTGAATAAGAATGCGGGTGGCGTTGCATGCAGGCAGTCGGCGAGCCGAGTAGGTTTGTCTCTCGCTCTCTTGTCAAGTGGCATCGGGGTGGTGTCTAAACCAAATAGCGCGTGTCTTGAAGATTTATTCGATAGGAAAGACGGCCACCAGTGGAAACCACGGTCAGCCAGCAGATTTTTACTAATATTTTGTTATAACTAAACCGATAGTTTATGTTGCATACAACATATGTAACATCTTTTTTATCGGACTACCACCCCCAAGCTCACCTGAAACCACCGAGTGAAGGGAATTATACGGCGTTGCAAATAGCCTACGTAAAAAGAAAGCTTCCTTGCCTACGAGATGGTGTGGAGGTCAGTTCGCTTAAGCCGCTTAACTCATATTATGAAAAATGCGCACGTGATGGATATTTTATGCTGATATTTCTCCCTATAACTTGTGCTACACACAGGGTTCTTCTTACGAAAAGTTAGCAGATCTCACCTACAGTGGGAATGAAATCGATGATATGCGAACCACAAATAACGAAGGTTGATATGTCATTTTCAAATGAGCACAACGTTATGAGGCAGACGTAAATTCTGCCTTGTATGACTTTCATGTCGTGATTATCATGTTTGGACGTGCCAATCACCTTCTTCGTCCATTCACATCAATATTGAATTTGGTATATGTGAAGCTAGCGAAACGGACGCTAGCGCACCATGAGCGTGGTATGTTGTCATGTTCTTACATGACACGCATGTCATAATTATATTGTTTGCACCAGTCATATACCTTCGTCATCTATTGTCGTCACGTAATACCAAAATTTTGTAAACCTAGCAGAACGACCGCACTATGAGCGTAGCTTGTAATCACGTTTTACATGACACGCATGTCATGATTATCATGTTTGGAGTGTCATTTACCTTCGTCGTCCGTTCGCGTCACGTAATACCAAATTTAGTATATGTCATGCTAGCGGAGCAGCCGTTAGCGCACTATGAGCGTAGCATGTAGTCATGTTTACATGACCCGCATATCTATATTATCATGTTTGGGCGTGTCATTTACCCCTTCTTAATCCATTCATGTCATGTAAAACCGAATTTGGTATATCTGGAGCTAGCGAAAGGGCCGCGAGCACGCTATGAGCGTAGCATTTAGTCATGTTTTACATGAGAAGCATATCATGATTATCATGTTAGGGTTTGTCACCTATGTTCGCCATGCAGTCATGTCATACCATACCAGTTTTGCAATATGTCATGCGAAAGAAACCACCGCAAGAATGGCAAGACCATAAAGTGTAAATTATGACGTCCATGACACAGATGTCACGATTTTCATGTTCTGACTAGTCATTTATGTTCGTCCTACAGTCATGTTATATCATACCAATTATGGTATCGATACCATTATCGAGATGGCAAGGAGAGCCAAATGTCGTAGATAGATAGATAGATAGATAGATAGATAGATAGATAGATAGATAGATAGATAGATAGATAGAGTCGCCGAAGTTCGCCAACAAATGCTGGGCAAATAATAAAGCAGCGGGCTACTTGAAGCTTCGCTCTTTGTAGTCCGCTGATTTACGGTAAAGGTTCTTTCTGTGTTGGCTGCCATAGCAAAAAGACATTTGAAGTCAGTATTCACTCGTCGTACTGTTTTCATTTTTTCCCTCGCCTGTGGTTGCTCATAATTAAGATGTCCGATCAACATCAATAATTGCTAGAACTTTATGTGCTAAAGAAGGCATAATTATGAGCCATGTCGTAGTTTGGGGTACTAAGAATAATTTTGACGACTTGGAGTTTTCTGATATCTACATGAACCCAAGTACACGAGTGTTCTTTATATTTCGCCTCTGGGGCCACCGTGACCGATAACTGGGACTGCCGCGATCAAGAATATATTCCGTGTCCACGAACGTAGCAGCGTGAGAGCATGCTATGCTACCATGATAGTTCGCTTGATCGACGACCACATACTACATACATACCACCGCAGCACGAATTGATGCAGCTACCCTTTGTGTCTCTTTACTTTTTAACTGCAGAAGCGGCCATCGTTGTATAGAATCAGCACGGTCTTATCAATGGAGGTGTGTCAGCCTGCATGAGCTTGATACTAATCCTAGCAAGCAGCCAGAAAATGATGACGAGGGAGCCGCCATGATGGCGCTGCACAGTCTCTTCGACGCCAATGGAGAGACTCAGACCACTTTGTAGAGCGTCTTTTGGGTTTCCAATGATTTCGTACAAAATATCTTTTAATACCGTAATGTAGTATTACTGGCGTAGTGGATGCTCGAGCTTTTTGTGCTGAAATCAATGCCAGGAACGGCGCATGCATGTGCTCTCAGCGCTGTAAGCTGCAGCAGGTCGGTTGGGGGTGAGTGGCTGAGATGCGTTGAGACTCTCCGCCAGGCACCCTTTTTTGGCGCATCACCCATCCAGCGGAGGTATCCCATGACAGTGAACCTTAAACGCTGACGGAGCAGACGTGACTGATACCCCTGTTACACTGCCTCCACCGAACTCTGTTAAACTCCATCAACGTAAAGCTCCCCTAGGGAGTTCGACGGAGATGGTGATACGGCCACACAGAAATTTTACAAGCTTTGGACGAAAGCTGCAAGGGGCTCATTAGGCGCCGCTGTACAGCCGTCAGCACCTTTAACTCGAACGCTCCGATGCATGGCCTCAGCTCGCTTGGACTGAGGTAAGCGGCGCCAGCATTGAAACTGATGTGCTTGCTGCAGGTAACGATAGATGAGGTGCGCGTTGGCTTCACTAGTAAATTTTTGTTTCCAGTCTGCCTGATCGGCGGGTCCAATGCAGTCATTTGGCGTCCCGTTTTCGCGACGTTTCGCTCATGGCAACGTTATCGGACGCGCTCGTGGCGTTCGTTGTCACATACGTTGTCGTATTTGGGCGTACGGGGAAAATGCGTACGGTGGAAATTACGCTGCGTATGCAGCAAGTGAAGCGTGAAACGACACTTAGTTTAACGTACCTTGATGTGTTTCACTCAACTAGAGAAGTCGTATTCGAGATGCAAAGGTTTCGAATGCTTATTAGTACCACCCATGCTAGAAGTGTGCATGTTAGGTCCCAGTAATAACGTGGCCTTTGTGATCTGCGCGAAAAACGTCCTGACGGCCAGGGTAAGGGCCACCAGCGTACAAGTCGGGCCGTGGCGATTACTAGGCAGATTTTTAGCATCATTCCGGGGTGCACTGAATGCGCACGTTGACCTTTGCTGTTTTGAACTTGGGTGCGCAGTGTAAGAACGGCGTCTGACTGGGCACTGGATCAACTCCAGCGTTCTATTCAGCGCTGTTGCGGATGAGGCTTAGCGTATACCCTGCAGCAAAGGGTCGCGTTTCAGGCATTCATGGCCTTACGATTACTACGTGCACATTTAAGGAGTGAAAGCATGCACAACGTCCAAGGCGTGTTTTGTTGCACCATGTATAAAAGTATGAACCAAGCTGCCGTTTTATTTACGGGTTCATTCTCCGAGAGCCTTGGTAGAAAAAGACGCGTTCCCGTGCACAACCAATCAAAGGCGATTCTTAAGGA